AGGGACGGGGTAACTTCATGGAAATGGGCAGGGACAGGGTAACTTCAAGCTCTGCTGATGTGCAGGGACGGGGTAACTTCATGGAGATGTGCAGGCACGGGGTTACTTCACGGAGATGTGCAGAGTGAGCCCCAGCTGCATCGCCATGTAACTGAGATGACAGAGCAGAGCCATCACTCAGCAGATGGGGTCAAATAAATAAAAGAGAGACCATTCACACCACAGTGTCAGGTTTTCTCACAATTGTTCACAACGTCACTATGAATGTTCCCTCTTTTTATGGTTGTAAAAAGGCCAGTATTAATCGCTTAAGGACAGAGTAGAATTATGAAGAAAATTCCTCGCATGGATATGGCCCTTAAATTCTGCATCTGCATAGAAATTTCTCAGAGAAGGATGTTCATTTCCTCAACAGCCAGGTAGTCATGAGAGGCATATATTCCCGTAGCTTTATAAACACTATCACCTTTAGACACTCAATGACATCACTAAGAATCTTAGCCACTATCAGTTAGTGCTTCTCATAGCTAAGAGTCTTGCATCTCCAACAAACAAAGCTAGAGAAGCACTTATTTGAAGAACCCTCATTTCCCATGTGCTCACATGCATGTTCCCGTGAGCAGTGTTGCTGGGCAGCAGTCATTCCTCATGAAACTACGAGGAAACTTCCCTTACCAGAGGGATCGCCAGGCTCTATTTAGGGTGTTCTTCAAAGTGCTCTGGTGGCACTGGTCACAGAGAACTGCTCACTGCCAGGCCTGCGCTTATAAACCACTAGCTGCTCCTTAGGAGACTGAAGAGGCGCTCCTCTCCCCTAAACAGCTGCAGTCTCAGAAACCCACAAGGGCAGTTAGCTCTACCTGTCTTCCAGTCCCGCTGAGTCGGAACGGACTCAATAGTAGTGAACTTGGTTTGGCGTTTTTGAGAGCAACCTTCAGGGAAACCTGGTGTGTGTGTGCGGTCATTAAGCAGTGGCTACGAGGCAAAGGGCCAGGAGCTTGACCCACCAGCCCCTCTGAGGGCAAAGAGGTTATAAAGATTATGGTCTTGAGGCTCCTGTTGGCCTTTCTCTTACAGGGGGATGGTTTAGAGCGCCCTTCAAAGAGGAAGGCAAAGCCTCTCATTCCCCTGAACAGTTTGAAAACGCCTTAATATTTGCACTTGGAACAGAAATACTTTCAAGCACCAGGGAGAGGTTAGATTTAAGTGCTCTATTTGGCTATGTTACTTTTGAAAGGAATGCACAGTATTCAACTGCCCTTCCAAGGCCAGTGAACAGTCCTGTGTGAATATAATTTCTTAAGGTAAACCAGAGAAGTCTATTTGAACCGGAAGCATAGTTATTTCAGGGCGACGTGGTTTATTCAGGAAGCAATAGCTGCAATTCGGGACCTGGACCAGGAAGAAGGCAAAGCCTAGAAGGCTGCTCTGAAGGGGAAAGCAGATACCAGCTGTCCTGCGCGCAGGACAGCTCTCTCACTTAGCTCCTCCCGGCTGGGCAAACAAGCAGTGGGTCCTTCTCTCTGCCATGAAGTCTGACTTTTAAAGGCACCACTATGCCTTTTGATGAACTCTAAATTACCAGATGGGAAAAAAAAGGTATTTCACATCAGAATGCTTTGAATAGCACTGCTTTAAGAGCTAGTCAGAAGATTCATGTTGAGAGAGGTTGGGCCATAAATGTTTTCTTAAAAGAAGATCAACTGACTCCCTGTCCTGGTCCTAGCTTTGACAGGCTGGCAGAAGCAGTCACAACCACCCACCCGCACTCCCATCTAGCCCCATGAGGGCACAGAAAGCATCTCTAGTCAACAATACCTTTGGTAGACTTTGTTTCTAATCCCTTTCTGGAAAGCAAGGAGATAATTCCGTCCATCTCCAGAGAAAACTTCCACAGCAATAGGCTGGAGTCATCAGAGAGGAAAATGTTTTAAAAGCAAGCAAACAAAAATAGAAGTTCCCAAATCAGGCCATTGTTACACATTATTTTTTTGCACTATGAATTGCTACATTGTTCAAGAAGTTAATTAGCTAGCCAAAGAATTTATGTTAAGAGTTAATGAATTCTCCGCAGATTAGGTTGAAAAACAAAACAGATTACTTTTAGTCTGCTCAACTTGTTATTACAATCCTTAGTAACAGCATAATGGCAGAATAGCCTAATCACTTAAAAATAGTAACAAACCTCGACAAAAATTTACTACCCATGTTAGCATGCTTCATGACAATATACATACTTCAATTTTATATTTGTCTCGATAAAAACTAAAAAGTAGAAGCCATTTTACAAAAGGAGGCTAACTCACTAAGCTTTAAATGGCAATTTGGGCACCAAATTAGATCTATTTTAGCTTAGCTTTGCAAAAGAAAATAATGCAACTATTTGGCGAGACTTGGGGAAGAAATCAAATGACAAGAAAATAATTATTTTACTTTTCTGTCTCTTTTTAAAGGAAGTCATAAGGGGCATCTTGTTTACCAGGAAATGCTAGAGCTGTTTAAAAATCCCAGAAAGGAATGGCTAGAAATTGCAGTCTAGAGGACAGGGATTGGATCTGTTTTCTTCAGCAGAATCGGATCTGGGGCATATGGCTGGGTACTCAAGAAATGCTTTTCAATGAACTAAATCACTGTAGAAATATGCTATCTTTAAAGCTTGGAAGCGTGTCCTGTGTTGACTTCATCTAGTGCCCAGCATGGCTCCACGAGCTCGTTGCCATCATTAGCCCCACTCCACAGAAGGGGACAGAAGGACACAAAGACTGACGTGCCCTGTCCTGTGCTGGTCTGTGGCGGGACTAAGTCTGAACTTCAGCAGTCTGACTCTGAACATGAACTTCTTTTCCCACTGAGCAACATTTGGAATCTTGCCACTAAAGTGTACTTGGGAGGCAGATTACAGGGTTATCTCTCAGTGAGATCTGATTTTATTTCAGTCACTGTACTCTTTAAGACAGAGTCCAAGATAAAGACATTGTAACAAATTCTACAAATGAGAATTTGCATATTATAGCAAAAATACAATTTTTATGTTAAAAGACAATGAAAATGATGTTTTGGATACCATGGGAATATGGATAGCAAAGTAGTGCCCAGACTACAGACTGCATGGACAAAAACAGATCCATCATATACTGTTATCTATCCATGCACGGTGAGGGGAGGACCATGTTTATGAACGGAAGACTGCAGATCCTATAAATGGTTTTTATGACATGCACTAGTTTTAAAACCATACATATTCTGAACCAGGAAACATAACAAAAGGCTTAGCGTTAAATCAATGCACCTGTAAGAGATATCTCCTTTTATGCACTTCCTTGATATCTTCGTAGGCAAAAATGCTGCAGGTTCTCTTGAGTTGACTCGGGCCTTGCCGGGCTCCTCGCGGGATAATTGGCTCATGCATACTATGGGCAGCCAAGAGAGAAAGGGAAAAACACCCACAAACTGGAGATCAATCCACCGCCCCAAAAGCGGTGTGGTTTTTCAGCATCATCAACAGGAGGTGAGAGGGAAAAATATATCAGAATTTTCCGTTCAAAATAACAAAACCAAAAAACCCACACACTGTCTAAAAGAATGATTCGTTAGTTACTTGGAATAAAAGCCCTTCGAATGAGTATAATTAAAAACATCTTTTGAGGAATACAATAATAATAATAAAACCTCATTAATATAGTCAGGGATAATGTATCCATTTGGTACCCGATACTTTCAGGGGCCATGGCAAGAGTCCCTAACACTTAATAACTGCTCAGGTAGAGAAAATACTTCAAAAGAGAGTACTAATGTGTCTCCCGTTATACCGGCAGACCCAGCTTACTGTGCCTCACAGACCTGCTTGTTTTTAACAAACAAAGGGCAGATCTGTGGCTGCCTTGTACCCATCAGCGCATGCGCGTTTTTCCGGCAGTGTGCGCGCACTTCCTTTTTGTGACATGTTTGGATGCATTTCAAACTGGCTGACGTGGGATGGACTGCAGAGTGATAGTGTATGCCGGGGCCAACCAAACACTTGGGCCTCACATCTCTGCAGTGATCTGGAACCAAACCTGCCACAGCCTGAGGCAGGCCTGAACCAAGCTGCAAAACACAACTTCTGGTATTTTTGTAAAGAAGGCCCCCACCAAAGTCACTATGCGGCCCTGTTGGCTGCCAAAAGCAGTCCATAAAGGTGCAGACAGGAAAGGCCTGCGGCTTTGCTAAATCTCAAGCCCCTTATCTTCCCTCCGGTTCTGTCTGTCTTCTGATTTTCCATTACCCACGATCACCTCATCACGGGAGGAACAGAAGACGAGGGAAGGGAGTGAAACACAGGAAAGCGGCTTAAGCTTGTCACCACTTGCAGGGTGCCAGGGGCGCGGGGTTCACCTTTCATTCACTAAAGTAGTGAGTCATAGCCTGTTTTCTCTGCAGCCGTGATGTGCACAGAAAGTCTATGAAAACAGCACATTATAAGTTCAGGAAAAGACGTATCCGTGTATACACTGTACTTTAAGTAGCTTGCTACCAGAGGCTATGAATGCATAAAAAGGATATTTCATATTATTTTCACATTGATAAACAAGACAATGTTTACTACCTTGAACTAGGTATTATCCTCACAGATGACAGATGCACAAAGGATTAGCAATAACAATATTACAATTAGAAAAAAACTATGTCTATTTGGGTCTTCTGTCTTCTAAACATCGTTGTACTTTCTTTCTCTCTGTCATCTACTTACTTTGGAGGTAGGGTTTCAATATCTCGGATTTCCCTGGTTGCTGTCATGGTAAACCCATCAATCACATAGAAATGCTCTTTGCCGAACAGCAGCAGCCCCTCGCTGGTATCGAGCCCTTGGACCCGAGCACAGCGGTACATGTGTTGGATCTAGGAAGAAGCCACGAACATCCATTAGGATGGTTTTAAAATCGTCCAGTTATTTTATTATTTGTTGGTAACAGAAGGCTTTCTTTCAATAAATTAGTTTCACGGAAGCTGTAATTCACACATCAAGGGTTTAATCACATGAAGAAGGTTTGTGCGAGCACCACCACCATCAACTTGAGCAGGGCGTTTTCAAACAGGTCTTTATGGGCCCGGAGGTTTACCACCACGGCACTGCATGTGTGCGCCAGGAATGTGGACCCTGCGTCTGCTGGCCAACAGCGCCCTCCCTCTGCTCAGTATTTTCATATGCACTATTTTACCAGTTTTTAAATTTCTGTAAAAATGCACACACACACGAATAATTAAGATCGTCGCTTACAAAACTACTTCACTGGGGAAAGGGTACAGCTGGCAAACAAACATAGAAGGTGCATGTGGTGGCGCAAGAAATCCCTATGTTACTGCTGTGACATCCCTTTAGCAAAGCCTATTAAGCTTGAGTCTAGAACAGCAGACAGCTGTGATTGGAGCCTGAGTTACAGTAGACTTTAGCGAATTAATCTATCCAATCTGTCCACCCATCCACCATGTATCCATCCGTCTCTCCAAATATTCACTGAGCATTTACTATGGGTCAGGTACACACGTGCTGTGTTCTCTAAGTGATAAGCATGTTAGATTTGTCCTTGCTTTCATAGTGGAATGGGGCACTGATGGTGCAGTGGTTATGCACCGGGCCGGTCAGCAGTTAAGTTCACCAGCCAGCCACTCCATGGGAGAAAGATGAGACTTTCTACTCCCGTAAAGAGTTACAGTCTCGGAAAAACACACGGGCAGTTCTACTGTGTCCTAGAGGGTCACTGTAAGCCAGAAATGATTCAAGAGCACTGCGTTTTGAGTTTTTCCTAGGGGAAGTGAGATGCCTCAAGGTGGGCAGGAAGGGGAATTGATGGGTACAGGTAAAGAGATCAGAATAGGGCTGTGCCCTCTGCCAGGAGAGATACAAAGTGCAACAAGGTCTCAGAGCCTGGCAGCCCTGAATGACTTCCCAGTTTTGCCATTTCACCCAGGTAGGCTTTGTCTGCTGGCAGTCGACATTTTCATTTGTAAATTTCAACTATATCTCTTGGGCTGTGAGATTTGAGGGCAAACACATAAACATGTGAGGGAGTCCAGGTTGCCCACTTGTCTCTTCTTGAACACCGCACAGTACTGAAAGTGGGCACTCTATCCCTATGTGCTTCCCACCTGGATCCTGCCTGCTTGGCAGACTGTGGGTCTTTGTCAAGGACCAAACTTGGCCCAAGTAACACTTTCCTCCTAGGAGGAAGGACTTGCTGAGTCTCTCAATGCAAGTATTGTTTCCTTTCCAAGGCTAGCCTTTAGTTCTGAGCAAAAATTCTTGCTTACACTAAGTTTGACATGAGTCAAAAGGGAAAAGAACAAAACCAGCAATTAAATCAAAGTCAGACAAATGTCAAATCAATGTCAGTTTGAAGCTATTTCTTATGCTATTAAAACTTAAAGCAACCAGAGCAAAAACTGCACTAGTGACATTAAAGACTTAAAAAATTGAAAACATGAGAAAACGTGTCAAAATATACAAGTGCAAGTCAGTCTGCAATGCCATGTGTATGCAATGTGATGAGAGAAATCCTGATGTACTCAACATTATCTCCCTTGCAGCATGGTATACATATAGCACCGTGTTCATCTCATACACACACAGCTTGATAAATTTGCACTGAGCAAATTTTTTTTAAGGCAGCAAGGGGGTTGGGGTTGGGGTAAGGAATGATAGGCCAAATAAGTTTAGTGGGAACCTGTGATACAGGCATTATAAAAGCATAGCAGTGAGGTAGCTAATCTAGCCTGAGCTGGCTATCACAGACTACCCGATGTGTCTGCGACCACCAGACAGACAACTGGTCTAGTCACGTGGCAACAAGTAACGTCACGACACTGCGCACGCGCAGACGCCGGTACCTTTTCTCCCTCTTCCAACAGGCGCAGTAAGGTGGCGTTGTCCGTCTTCTCCTCCTCTTCCACAGAGCCGCCCTCGGCCAGCTGGTCTGGGGGCTGCTCCTGGGTCTCCTCGTCTCCTCCATCCGGGGCAGAGCGGGAGCGTTTCAGGGGAGGCTTCACCAGACCTGCAGTACAGTAAACACGATGGCCATGTGACTCTGTGGATGGCAATTGGCAAGGTTACCCTCACAGAGCACTGCTACGGATCCCCGATTTGAGCTCACTCCGGCAGGTACAGGGGGCAGTGCGTTCTGCAGTCCAATAGTTGCATCGCCTCGGGAAGGATGCGGACTGCTCTGACTCTCCTCCCTTTTCTCACCTACGCAACGGAGGCCGGGATACGATCGATCTAGAAGTTGAGGACGAGGGAGATAAGTCATGTAAATGGTTTGCACTGTGCTTACTACTATGGAGTCAAGCCTACAGAAGCTCCAGATGATGACGATAAACAGAGAGCTTAGCACAATTAGTGGTGAGGATGGCACTGTGGTGAGATGCCACTGGGGGGCACCAGGAGCAAATATCACCAGCTGTCAGAAATGAAGAGCAAGCTATAAACACAGCGGAGACTCCCCCTGGTGGAGGGCCCATGGCGACCCTCTCAAGTCTCAGCTCCCAAGCAGGAAGATGGCCATTCTTACCTGAATGCCATGCTCTCAGACCACCAGGTTATAGATTCAGAGTGCACAGAAAGAGCAGAATTTGTTCTACATTGACAGATTATTTCGTTTCCAGATTAATGCCTACATTCAGAAGACTCAGCCGTTGATAGTAACCAGTGAGACCCGGATGTATGGGAAGCACTCTGAATAGACTTTAAGTCCCACTACGCTCCATGAGGAGAGTGCTCCTCCGTTGTGCCCTCAAAATGTTACCGCTGTTGCTTTTAGTTGCTGGAAGCATTTGGGAAAAGCTTTAGTCACCCTGTGAGCCACTTATCCTTCGAACATTAGGTACCAGAGGATCTGTTTTCCTTGGAGAAGCCCCTTATTTCCATACATGAAGTGCAGTATGAATAAGTGCTGTTTGCCCAATGGCAAGAGGAGAAACACTCACAGCTGCATGGTTTTTAGTTTAATGAGCAAAACATCCATTTCCATGCTTAGCATTAACACCTTGTAGCATTAATACAACAAACAGTAAGGCTAGCACTATCTGTAGGGTTTTCAAAAGTTATTATTCATAATTTAATCTAAGAAACTTGAAAAGTGAGGTCCAGATAATTGGAACATCAGCGACCCAAATATTAAGGAGTTCAGGTAGGGTAGGGGTTCCTCATGGGACTGCTAATGGCAAGGTCAGGAGGAAGAACCCCCCAGCTATTCCTCGGGGAAAGATGAGGCTGTCTGTCCCGGTAAAGATTTACCACTACGGAAGCCCTATCCAGCAGGGGTAGGGAACCGTTTTTCTGTTGAGGACCATCTTGAGATTTCTAACATCATTTGCAGGCCATCCTGGTCACACCTTTAATGAACTCATCCCTGATGTGATGGCCGAGAGGAGCGCTGGTGGAATAGTGGCCACCTGTTGGGCTGCTAACTGCAAGGTCGGCAGTTTGAAACCACCAGCTACTCTGAAGGAGTACTCTCATCAAAACCCAGAGGGTCAGCTCTATCCTGTGCTCCCGGGCATGTACTCGATGGCAGTGAGAGTGCGCGAGCCTATGATGGTTGGCACGGCTTCTCTTTGAGGAGGTAGGCGTGGGATGTTAGCGGGTGATGATGAGTTTGAGGGTCTTATATGACGAGCAGACTGGACAGGCCCAACACCTGCTCTACAGGGTCACTATGAATTGGATTCAGCAGTGGGCGGTTTTTTTTATATGCAGTGACTAAGCTTTGAATCTATCTCAGTAAGTTTGATAACGCAGTTTCAAAAAAATTGGACAATTTCAAACTGTGTCCAATTACTGAAAAATTTTTAGGGATTTTTGGAAAAACACGAGGGCAATGACTGCAAGGTTTAGTCAGTCATGATCATCAAAGCGAGAATAGGAATTATGATGGGAAACAATATTCAGAAACGTGGGTGCTGTTTTTGGTTGACGTGATCATGTACTAGTTTGCTAAGACTTTGGAATTTCTGCTGAGTCCATCTTCAGCAAGTTTCACAGCAGATCGAGTTACTCATTCAATATTGACTGGATCCCATATTTGTAAGGTTGAGTTACTCATTCAATATTGACTGGATCCCATATTTGTAAGGTTGAGTTACTCATTCAATATTGACTGGATCCCCATATTGTGTAAGGTTGAGTTACTCATTCAATATTGACTGGATC